ATGTTTCCTGCCCTCAAGGCTTGCTGCCCCACTGTGATGGTTAATACCGACCATCAGCTTGACAGGATCCAGAATCATTCAGGTGACAAACTTCCGGGTGTGTCTGCGAGGGAGTTTGTAGATTGGGTTAACTGAGATGGGAAGCCCCACCCTGAATGTGGGCAGCACCGTCCCCTGGCCTGGGGTCCTGGACTGAATAAAAAGGAGAAAGTGAGCTGAGCAGCAGCATCCATCTCTCTGCTTCCTGACTGTGGATGCCATGGGAGCAGCTGCCCCAGGCTCCTACCCCCATGCCTTCCCACCATGATGAACTGTATTCTCAAACTCTGAGTCACAATTACCTTTCTTCCCTTAAGTTGCTTTCGTTACATCAGTAATATAAGTAACTTACACAGCCAGGAGCTCTTTCCTGTTTCCCAGAGTCTACATCTTTCTTGGTTTATGTCCTCATCTAACTGGAGTCCATCCTCAAGTAGCTTCCTGAGAAAGGGCATACAGGAGGCAAATGCTTGAAGACTATGACTATCCGAAAGTGCACGCACCCCTTCCTTTAGACCTGAAAGCGGATGCCACATAGGTCTAAGCACCAAGTCACTTTCCTTTGGGTATCTGAAGGGGCCACTCACTCTTCCTGGGAGTTCTGTCTCCCGATCATCTGACAAGTGATGTGCTCTTCTGCTCTCTGGGAGTTCACAGCCTCTGCTTTGTGCCTGATGTTCTGGAGATCCATGATGAGGTATGAGAGTGAGGACTCTCTAGGCATCTTCCAGGATGTGAAGCCGACTCCTATCCTCTGGAAAGCATCCTGTCTGCCCTCAACCTCCTGTCTCCTCTGTACTTCCCTCAGGACCTGACCTAGACCCACATAATCACCTTTCTCTATTTTTCAGCTTGCTATTTTTGTTTAACTTTTAGATAGTTTCTCTTGTATCCTTCTGTGAGGAACGGCATACGTACACATGTGTGCACATGCATGTGGAGGCCAGAGGTCAACATCAGGTGTCTTTCTTCGTTACTTTTCACCCTTTTTTGTTTAATTTTGTATGAGTGTATTGCCTGCATGCATGGAAGTGCACCTGTGTCATGCAATGTCCAAGGAGGTCAGAAGAAGGTGTTAGATCCCTTGGAACTAGAGTTATGGACAGTTGTTAGTTGCCATGTGGGTGCTGGGAATTGAACCCAGGTCCTCTGCAAGAGTAGTCGGTGCTCTTAACCACTGAGCCATCTCTCTAGCCCCTCTGCCTTATTTTTTGAGACAGGGTCTCTCATTGAGACCAAAACTCATGTTTCAGCTAGACTGGCTAGCCAGTAAATCCCTAGGATTCACCTGCTTCTACCTCCCCTCACCCCAGCATTGGGGTTATAGGTGCACCACTACGCCCATCCATTATGTGGGCACTGGGGATCTGAACTCAGGTCCTCAGGCTTATGCAGGAAGCACTTCACCCACTGATCTGTCTCCCCAGCCCCTCAATCATCTCTTAGACATCTACTGAGAACTTCACTTAATTCCCAGAGTTTTAAATTTCCTGGAGCTCCCTTTCTTCTCCCCAGCTGTCCTTGGCTCCCTGCCCTAGGGTTAAGAGCCCTGTCTCCCCTCAGTGAGAACCAGGATACAGCATGGTGGTTCTCACGCTGTTGCTCTGATCCTTCCAGAACACATGGCTCTACAGGTTCTGTTTGGCTTTTCCTGATAACAGATTTTTTTTTATTCTGGACATTTGATAATCCCAGATTACAAATGAGTTCCCTGTGGCTTTAGGGTCACCTTGGGACCTGTTTGCATCCTGCCACCCCACTCTGTCCTGGGTCCAGGTCTCCTGTGATGACCAGGCCTCTGCAGGGCCCTCTGTTGGCCTTCTTTGGAACTTAAGGTCAGACCTGTATGGGCATCTGCACAGCCTTCGGGGTAAGCAGCATGTTGGAGTGTACTCTAGCGTTTTTGACTCAGTCAACTGGAGATAGGGCATCAAGAATCTGTACTTTTCAAGTTCCAGGGTGTGAGGGCTGCCACCAGCCTGGGGTCACACTTCAGGGTCCAAGAAATGGCTGGGCTTTGTTTTTGAGTTCTTATCTTTCAGGGTGGGAGGCGTACAGAAGAGGAAGGCCTGATGTCTCTTGGTGAAATTCTTTCCCAAGGACCTCAGGCCTCCTGTCCCATCCCCATCCACCCCAGCGCTACCTGTAGCCGTCTATCCTGGGCCCTCTGGAAGTTTCATATTGCATGTGGTCTGGCTCTCATCCACGCGCACTGGCTTAGAGGTACCCTTCCAAGGCTTCTTGGTCATTAACTACTCAGCTCCACTTTACAGATCTGAAAGCCTGTTGCTGCATTTTCTCTATGGGCATTAAGTTTCATAGAAAACAAGAGCCATCACACATGGTGGCACAGCCCTGTAATCCCAGAATTCTGGAAGCTGAGGTGAAAGGATCACTACAAATTCAAAGCCAGTCCAAGTGACATAACAAGACCCTGCCTCAAAAATACATACATACATACATACATGAATGAGTAACACCTCAACTGCTCTTACTGTGAATTTAGGGGGCTGGAGGTGTGCAGGCACAGGCCCTGTCACCCCTGGACACAGAACCCTCCCACCAGCCCTATGTGTTTTGTTCCCAGCCTCATCTTCAACCAAGTTCACCATAGGCAGCTACTCTGACCTGGGCCTCTGCTGGCCTTCTGACTTCAGGCAAACATGGACTTGGAGACTCTCTATGGACAGCCCTGGGGGGCCTTTGTACCCCGTAGTATGCCTCAGAAGCCTATAGCCTGAGTCCATCTGCTGTGATCTTGAACACTTACCAGGGCAAGACTCCCAGCGGGTACCTGGCTGACAGGAGGATATCCAAAAGCTTGCTGAATAAGAGACAGCTGATGGGCCCTGGCTCAAAGGACCCACCTGTCACACTCTCCAAGGCTCCTCTCAGAGGAAAGAGTGTTCCATGCCTGCCTTTGAGTCTGTCAGGCACACAGACATAGTACAAGCAGAGAGAGCTGTGTGGAAGGAAGATGAGACTCAGTCTGAGCCCCGCCAGGGAGAAGCCCTGGGGTGACAAGTAGAGCTGTCCCCAGCTTAAGGGGGATCAACCTCACGGCGGCCCTATTCCTCTCTTGTATTTTATATGGGCCATACTTAGCCAGCCATCCACAAAGGCCCTTCTGAGGCTGGCAGGTGGGTCCCCCATGCATGGAAAGCTATGGGGGTACCTTGGACTCCCAGAAGAGCCCAGGTAAGTGGCCCAGCTGGGACCCTGGGCTGTGGGGGCCAATGACAGAAAGTGAGTGTGTTGCAGGGGCCTCCTTCCTCTGGCTGCCAAGCTGGTGAAATGGAGAGTCCAGATGTGTGAAGGCTGCAGCCAGCAAGGAGCTCCAAGCTGCGGGGCTCCTCTCGGCTGTGCTGGAAAAGGTTAGTGGCTGGGAGCTGAGAGCACTGGGCTCCCGGCTGCTCTTGCTACGTTTTTACATGTATGCAGGCTCTGGTCTACAGAAAACGAGACAGACAGAACTTAAGGAGGGTCAGTGTAAGTTTCTTCATTCTGAAAACCTGAGATGGGAAGAGGTTGGAAGGTAGAGTGTACACGGCACTGCACTACACTGCACGCCCTCTGCTCACAGGCAGAGCAGTGGTGCAAACCAAACCCATCCTCAAAGATGCTGAGAGGCACAGGGTTCTGCTCCATTCATTTGCCTCTCACGGCTGACCCCCACAGCAATACAGGAACCCCAAGACTCACAAAGGACACTAACAAAATGGAGGGCCCTAGAGCTAAGCACTGATGCTGATGAGGGTTCCAGGGACCATTACAATGAGTACAAGGGGAAACAAGACCATGGATCATAACAATACAGATGACCAGCCATTATGGAGCACTTACTGTATGCCAGACTCTTCTTAGAGTACCTCTGCCCAACAGAGACGGGAGAAAGGGTGCACCACCCCCTTCCACTAAGGCCTGGTTTTTTCTAGAACCCTTGATTTACAACCCCATCTAAGGGCCTCGGAACACTAAGCCCCTGATGAGGGTCTGCCGTGGTCCTACAGACCTGCCCAGGTCCTATGTGACACTGACTTCAAGTACTCTCCCCAAGGCCCAGGGAGGGAATAGACAGCAGAAGGGGCCAACAGAAGCAAGATGAAGACAGAAGGATGTGCCACTGCCACAGGAAGGGCTTTCAGGTGACAGCACGACCCTCCCTAGCTCAAGGATTCTCACTAGAAATGCCACCACCTCCACAGGACTAGAGACATACACAGATAGGGAACAGAAGGCCTTCTCAGGATGAAAAGCAGCTTAGAAGCAAATGTGAGATGTAAATCCCAAGACAACAATAGCCCGCAGCCCCCACCCAGCATAGCTGTCCTGAACATCCCCAAGGGCATATGCAGTAGCAAGACTGGCCTCAGGAGACCAGAGCTTGGGACAGGCAGGTCTGCTGGAGCATCCTGCCCATGGGCACTCAGACAGTGCAGAGATCCTCCCCTGCACCCACAAGTCTGCACTTCTTGCTGGAGCCAGGACCCCATGGCTGCCATGTTTGTGGAAGCTCAAGAGTGAGATTTGGTGGCTATTATACTGCATCAGGGTGACAGGTGCACGTTCCAAGGGTGATCCTGATTTATAGACTAGAGAGGGTGGCAAGAGGCACTGACTGTGCTGGCCTGGATCTCCCCTGGCTTCAAGGCCTGCTTGCAAAGGGCCCTGGGCTCTGTGAGTGTGCTCAGGCCAGTGAACGATGGCCCTGTTTTCTTGGAGGACTGGATTTACTCATGATTAATGGGGCACGTATACACTGATAAATGGTATTAATTTGTTTTAGAGGGTTTGAGACGATCTTAGCTGTTTGCAGAGCCTGTGGAGAAGCAGTTTGTCTCAGATGGCTGCAAAGGCCAGTGGGCCTTCATCCAGCCATCCACTCATCCCTACTGCCCCATGAAACTGACTCTTAAGGACACCAGTCCACGAGATGCCAAGAGGTGGGCGAGAGGACTTACCTGCTACCTCCTTGAATGAGGGCAGGCTGGCAGCACCCTCCAGGTCAGCAGGGATGGAGCCCCCTCTCTCCAGGGTGTGCACGAGCCCCCGTAATCGCTCACACTCCTCCTGCAGCCGGTCACGGTCCTCACGCAGGCGTTGCCTGGCTGCGCTAGCTGGGTTCAGGCTCAGATGTAGCACTTTGGTTCGACTTTGGTCATAGTCACCCTGGAGGAACAAGAACATCACAGTCACCTTGGGGTGGTTAGACTCCTGAGGCTTTAGGAACAAGGACAGAAGAAAGGAGGTACTCAGCAATACAGAGCACAAGCATGGGGAGTCACGGTAGCCGATGCATCTTGGGTGGAGCATGACAAGGTGTGGTGCTCAAAGCTGCTGCACCAGCCCTATCTGAATACTCTCTGCACAGGTGGGTCCTTCACAAATCTGCATTCTGCTGGCTCTTACCTTGACAAGGGACTGAACTGGGGAGAGAAAACAAGCAAACCCATCATCACACCCTTGGATGATTACAGACACTCCGAGGAACGAGGCCTGATCCTACCAGGTGTCTCAACAAGTTACAAGAATCTGTGTCCAAGACTGGGCAGCATCAGAGTGAAGGTCAACAGGATGCACCTGACATTAGCCTCTCACCACACAAACACCAACTCTAGGAAGGCACATCTACAAAACGTTAAGAGCTTAAGGAACTCATAATGGTACACCATCTTCATGACTGTACAATGGTCAGATTGGACTCAGAAGTACCAGTATGAGAGATATAACAAAAGCTGGTACAGTGGCAGCACTGTGGAAGATGAGGCAGGAGGATTATGGGTTTGAGGCCAGACTGGACTAGAGAGACCCCATCTAGAAGGAGGGAGGGAGGGAGAGATTACCCATGTGTGAGCACCCCAGGCCCTAGAGGCAGGAGCAGCAGAGGAGGCTCTGTGAAGCTTATATCCAGAAGATGCTCAGAACCCAAAAGTAAATGAAAAAAACGTCAGTCACTGGAAAATGGACAAAACATGTGAACAGGCCCTTCATATCAGACAGGACCCAGGGGCTGGTGGGCACAGAGGCAGCCGGTGCTCCCGGAACTAAGCTGCCATGGGCTACTGTTTCTCTATATCACCAAAAAGCAGTGGGCCTGTACTTGAGGTACCTCACTGAGGCCCCATCCTGCCAGCCCTTGGCCAAAGCTCTAGGTTTGGTTCCAGGAGGAGAGTGGGAAGGGCATGGGAGAGGGATCCCACCCTCCAAAACTAAAGCAGCTTCAGATTACTTCATATAAGCAAAGTAACCAGTCTGCAGTCCCCTAGGGGAGAGTGGGCTGGGGGCAGTAAGTGGCAGAAAGTGCCAGAGCCACACACAGGGAGCAGTGGGGCCACTTCCTGAGTATGCTCTCATCATGGGAGAGAAGGACAGAGGGAGCGGGGAGGGAGGAGGCCTGGGAGGAGGGAAGGAGGTGGGAGCAAGCCTGGCAGGCTCTTGAGGGGTTTCGTGAGAATCTTGTAAAGCCCTAGGGATGAAGAGGCTCCTGGAACGCTAGCTGATTTCCCAGCTTTAGGGTTGAAAGAGACTGTTACTCAGGCAATTTCAACAGTCCATTATTCCATGTAATTTTAAGTCAGGGGAGATAGCCAAGCATGTGAAATCCATCACTCATGCCCGCTGTGAGAGCCCTGGGGCTGGACAAGCACTTGGCATCCCTCCTGGGGCCAAGTCCGAGGAGCTGGGCAGAGGAACAGCGCCCAGCCCGGCACTGCCCATGGAGCCAGATGGTTGCAGGGCTCCTGTCTGTGTCTGTCCCCACTGCCCACTGTGTGGCTTGGTGAGAAGCAGCCACAGAAGACAGGCGTGGGAACTGGCACCAGCAAGCAGGTCAGAGCACCAATGAAACAGCGCTCACCCAAACACAAGTGAGATTTTCATGTGGCCCAAGATGCTCTTGATTTTCCTTTTAAGGACTTTTAAAAAGATGTAAAAACCCATGCTCAGTTTATGTGCTATATGGGCTGGCTGGCTGGCTCTGGGGACCCTAATGCTGAGGGCAGGGTGATGGACACATCTTCTTCCTGACAGAAACGCTCCTGTCCCCAGGGCAGGCACAAGTCCTCAGGGCCCAAGAGCTACAATGGTGGTCTCTTCTTGCTCACCCACCTGAGGATTCAACGTGTTGAACTGAAGTGAGGTCCTGAGAAGAGCCAGGCAGAGGGCCACAGGGACCATCCTGGAAGCCATCTGTGTTGTCCTAGACAGGATCAAACCTCCCAGGCCTCGACCCCCCAAAAGGCAAGCATGGGAGATCCACATGTGGCCAGAAACCACATGGTGATGCAGCCAGAGCTGGCCTCTGATCCCAGATGGTGGCTGACCAGCTGGGGACCAGGATCTGGGCTGTGCAAAGGCACTGTGCCATGCAGGCTAGAAACAAACCCCTAACCTTCACTGTAGTCTGCTTTCCACAGAGCAGTGGTGTGATAACAGTAAAGCCAAGTGAATAGGGCCACACACACACACTAATAATATCAGGTCAGATTCTGCAGCCCAGATTCCACCTCCCGCCAGCGGGCCCAGTGTCATCAATAGCCCAAGTGTCTGTGCCTAGAGCCAGAACGAAACAGAAACTGTGCTGCTAACTGGGGCCTAGAGCAAGCAGCTCCTGAATCCCCACATTGGGCAAGAGCTCTTAGAGCACAGAAGACAGATAGCAACCAACACTGACATACTCTATAGACACACACATGTACCTCCATCTACAGACTGACTGGATTTTCTTTGCTGGATTCTCAGAGACAGCAAAGTCCTTTAGAGACACAGGAGATGGGAACTGGGACCCTGAGTGGGACAGATGGGGATACGGGCTCTGTCCATAGGAATCACAATCCCCACTGTCCATGTCAGGGACACAGTTGTCCCCGTGTACCTGTGAGTCAGATCAAGTCTCCATGCAAATATGACACAGAGAAGTGGTAAAGGCTTGCAACATGACCATAGTCCCACAGGGCCTGGTGTCTGCCAGAGGCACAGGCCACTCAGAACCTTCCACACCATCCTAAGAACACAAAAGGCTAAAATATCCTCCTGGTCAGGCAAGACTACCATGGGGGGAAAGCAAGGTGGGCAGGTTCAGCTGCTTGGAATGCTGGGATACAACGCTAGCTGGTATGCAGCACCTTTTCTCAGCACCCTATGGGGCCAAGCACCCAGGGACTTATAAGGATTATCCTGAGAATATGGCCTCCCCTGAAACGCAGTGCTCAGCAGTCAGGGTGACTGATGGGCAGGGCATAACAGGAGTAAGAGCTGGGTGGCTGCACCTTTGTGGCTCCCCAGCCCTTGTGAGCAGAGAGCACAGAGGCCACCACACAAGTCCCGGAGAGTAAAGAGGCAGCCAGAACACTTGGGTCTGTCCAACCCCAGACTCTCCTACCAGGACAGACCTCCAAGGGACAGGTCATCATCTTAGTTGTAGAACAAGGAGCTGACAGTAATGCCTCAGTGCCCACTCAAAACAAGTGCCCAGCAAAGAACACTGACAGCCCATCACTCCCCCTGCCGTCCCCTCTCCTCAGCACTTGCACCTTATGACAACTGTGTCATTTTAAACACTTGTTTTATCAGCTGTCCTCTGCCAGAGGTCACCTCCGAGAAGACAGGGCTGTCTGTCTTATTCTTTATGCCGTTGCTGGTACCGACAATGTGCCTGGCGTGTAGTGTCTGTTGAAAGAATGTGTAATAAATAGAACATTCCTCAGGCTAGGATGCATTCCATGGGCTTAGGAATCAAATCACCAACTAAGATGAAGCATAAAGAGACAAGAAGTCTGGAAACAGGGCCTAGCCTCCTGTCTGTGATAGGTGCAAACATCTAGTTCACCTGCTGGATCTGAACTCCGCTTCGAGGGCAGTGGGGGCTCCCGAGGGCTACTCTCAACTCCCTACATAATCACCCGAAGATGTAAAAGAGAGAAAGCAAAGGCACAGCCATCAATCAATGTCATGTAAACGGAGGCAGCAGGGGATGGGGGCATCACCTGGGTCCCTACAGTTGTGTACACTCTCAGCACTCACTCAGAAGGCACCTGCCAAGGTCCCTGTGCCTAAGTCTTGTGGCAGAGATGGGGGCTGAGAAAAAGGGGTTTCAGAGCTTGGTCTGGGAAGTATAACCAAGCGGCAGGGACTGAGGGGCTACAAATGGAAGGAGGTGGGCTGTGTGGCTATCACCCATGGTCAAAGCCACTGTAGTCTTGAGACCCCTGCAGCATCAAGATACCCGCAGAGAGGTCCTATGCCACTCAATAGCAGGTACACTGAGGCCCTTGCTGCAAGAAAAAGCCAGCCAAGAGCTGTACCCCAGAGATGGGAGATTGGGAGGACCCTGAGGGGTCTCCACAGGTCAGGGAACCAGGTCACTGACCTACCAAATGTGCAATCTACCTACCCAGAGGGCACCGCCCAAGATGCCTGCTTCTGTGTCTCATCATGCATGGACACCTCAGTAGGGCTGGGCCACAGTGCCCTCCATCTACAGCAGAGGTAACAGAGACCACTTGGGGGGAGGGTGAGCAATGCCAGGCTCCACCTTCAATACCAGAGCTAGGGAAAGAGGAAACACCCACCCTCCTTCAGTGATGCCTCCTCCCTAGGCATGCTCGCTCCCCACTGTGGGCCCAGGGGCATCCATGCCAACATGCAGGAGCACCGTCCAGGGTGCTGGCGCCACACGGGATGAGCAGATGGGAGCCAGTGAGCCACTTGGCTGAGTCTGCCGCGGGATGACAGCTTTGAGGAAGAACGGGGAGAATGGCTCTAATCTGCTGCTGAAATTTGTTGCCTTGTTTGATTCACAGCTGAGGAAACTGTGGAGATGCTGACAAGAATCTCAAAAGGAAGAGTCTGGAACCTTCCTTTGATACCACAGTGCAATTACTGACTAAACAAAAACATCTCCCTTGTCAAGTGAGCAAGTTGATGCTTTCCGTTAATGACCATGGCCACGCAGGAGCTGACAGAGGGTGAGGTGGATGAACAGCAGTGCTGGGGACACACTGGCCATGGGCCAGGCCTATGGATGGTAGTCTACACAGTGGCTCTTCCAGAGCATGGTGTGGGCTTGCTGAAGGCCGGGTGGCTCTTCCCCACTGCCTGTCCACTCCGGAGGCTTCTGTTCTTCAGGTCTGGATAAGCTTATGTGACCAGTCACTGGCCTCTGTCCAGAG